TCTGCCATCATCTGCTGGGGTAACAGCATCAAATCACTTAAAAAAGCTTAACAAGCTAATAAAGAAGGCTGGCTATGAACCAAGACCTCCTCTAGAACCTCTGGAGATGATTTCACTAAGTAGAATTTTCAATAAAATGAAGAACAATATAGACAGCTATGATCATCCTCTACAGAAAACTGTTAAACAACCAGGTGTCTTCAGCCAGAGGCTTCTTCCGATTCACTGCGGGATAGCCACTACAGAATATATTACTGTCTACAGCTATCAACGCCTGCTAGAACACCTTTAAAAATGAAAAACAACAAAGGAAAACCCTTTAAGAGTTCCATCACTTAGATACTTATTGGGACCAGTAATGTATTTATTAAATTTTAAAATTTTTTTTTTTTACTTTTCTTGAAAATACTGATTCATCTTAGCTGGTTGAAAGCAGGACTAACTTGGGTGTTTCAGCATTTTGCTGATTCCAAACATAAATCCAAAATCGAATGGATAAAGCAGACTAATGCTAACAATAACAGTAGAACATTTGTGAACTGTGATCAAACGCTGGATTTGTAGCAGGAAGCCAACAGATTTTGTTTTCAAATGCCTGATGGAAAAATATCCTCAGATCTTATGGCTTCATACCATCCAGTGGCACTTTTATTGGTATTTAACCAATTATTGGAGATTGGCATATTTATTTAAGCCAACTTGCACACAATTGGAGAATAATTACGATAAGTTCATCCTTACAATTTCCCTGGTCTCCTGTCCATCGAATAACACTTTAGTCATGCACTAAGAAAGGAAGAAAAAAAAAATGCTGCGATGTATTTTGAGTTTGAAAACATTTCTCACGATCTACTGATGATTTTATACTGAAAGCAGCACTGACTAAACTAATAAATGATTTGGGTTTTTTTTGAAAAATCATTGTGATAACTTATTATATAATTAAATTCTATATAGTATGTCATTACAATTGAATTTCTACTTCTGGGAAACCTTTAAAGTCTAGATGCATTTATAAAGCTGGTATGACTTTAGTATATTCAGAAATCACATTTATGATTCCCTTAAAACCCTGCCTCTATATTTACAAGTTAGAACTTGAGCTAAGAATAAATACTTGTAGTTTAAAACAATGAGTTTAAATGCAAGTGGGAGATGTTCATCATAGTGGAAAAATAGACTTTGCTAGGTTTAGTGGGAAATAATGAAACCAAACCAAACACACCTCCGTGGTTATGAGCGTTTTACTGCTCCGTTTGCATAAAATATTTGTCTAATTTCTCTTTGTTTACACAGATAAATACACACATTTGATTTAGTCATATGAAATGTAATGCAATTTTTTACCTTTCATAATGTTAATCATGACCAGTAGAGAGTAAGAACTGATGATTTTCACCATTAGATATTTGTATGTATGTTTCTCTGCTATCTAATAATTTTTCCTCAAATGTCCATAAAACATTTGATTAGTTTTTTTCCCCCCTCCTGTCCTGCAGGGGGCACAGCAGAGTGTTTGAGGCATGGTTCCTGCTGGCTCAGTGTGCTCACTGGGTACAGGTGGCGGTCCAACTGCTGGTTACATCAGGCCCCGAGGACTGTGGCTCCCTCCTCTGGTTGCTGACCTTCTATCATCGACCCACCAACAGGTGGCACCACAGAGCTGCACAGCTGGTGAGGTTTTTCTCATAAAAGCTGTTCTCAAGGCCTTTCAAAGGTTTTCAAACCCCTTATGACTTCACAACATCAGGCTGATAGACCAACAAAAACTAGCTCCTAAGTGGAAAGAAAATGACGGGTGGTTTCCAGACGTGCACAATTAATGTTTGAAGTGACATTTGTGTTAATTCAACCTCTCCTAAAAAGATCTCAATGGAAACTGAAGTCTTCTAATGAAGTAGATCTTATGGTGTGTAGATTATCTCACCTTAAATCCAACCATTCTGTGAAGACCTCGGAGGTTTTCTTAGAGAAAATGATTGATCAGTTGAAAAGTATGGTTAGGTTTAATTACATATCAACCTTTGGATATGTAGAGCTACTTGGCTCATCTGAAAATGGAAAGGACTTTCCTATCAGGAGAGAGCTGAACAGAGAAGCAGCTCAGAGATCAACAATGTTTATTTATCATGTCTGCTGATAAGGCCCAGTGCAAAAATTCTACAGACTCCAAAAAAAAAGATGAACTAAACACTTTCAGGATGAAGGCTCGACCATCCAACCAGGCAATTAACAAACTGCCAGTCATCGTTAAATCAGAAAAAGTTTTTGTATACATGCAAACATTATTTTTGCCTTTGCACATCACCTTAAACACACTATCCCCACATTGGGACATGGTGGAGGCAGCGTCATGCTGTGGGGATGCTTTTTCTCAGCAGCAGCAGAAAAGCAGCCCACAATTTTGGTGAAGATAGAGCTTTCCTGGAAGAGGACCTGTTTTAGGCTACATGGGAGACCATAGATAATGTTCTGGACTACCATTAAAAGTTGAAGTCCACCCCTAAATCTGACTGAGAAGCTGCAGCAGTGCTTGGGGGAAAAAATAGTATGTTTGCAAACATATTCATATAGATTGCATTGATTTAAGTGTTAATATGTGGGTTAAAGTTAAAGGAATAAAAGGTTTTGCTAAATGCCGCATTCGTTTATTCCATTGTTCATTCCTATGGTCACTGACCGGATAGCAGAGCTTGGAAATGCATCAGTTTTCCTTTCACCGAGGAGCTAGGAGGTACTCTGACCTACAGTTGTTTTATTTTTCACCGCTGGAGCTAAATTGTGATGAACAACAGAGTTATAAGGTGCTGACATTTGTTTTGTGAGCTGAGAGGACACGGTGTGGATAAAATCTCATCATGTCTGTGCAGCATCATTACTCAACAAGGCAACTGTGTGGAAGGTCTGTTATTCTGCTCCAGACAGGTGTGGTGTTGCTGAAAGCCAATACAAAGAAGGGAGACACATTAAAGAATTAATAATAGATGACAACGCCATCCTCCCTTCCCTTTCCCATGTGAGAGGTAATGGTGAAGTGAGGAAGGTACAGAGGAGTGAGGGGAGATGGGCGAAGAGGGGAATGTAGTATTGATTTCTCAGAGAATGTCTGGCCAGCTGGCCTGATGTCTGTCTCTGCGACTCCTGATTGTCCGCCTCCTCTCACAAACCTCAGAGACCCACTGCCGTCTCTCCCACCCAATGACGTGCTGATCTCACATTAATCTGTGCCGTATCTCCTCTCATGAGTGTGTGGATCTGTTAGTGCAGGAAGGTTACAGTCAGTCCTATTTCCTTTCATCCCCAGGTGCAGGCCAAAGCAGCGTGGGACCAGCTCTACAGTATTTTCTCTGTCGGAGCTCATCCTCTTCCTGCAGACCGTCTGCAGCCTTTACTCAGTCTGCTTTCATCCAGACCTCAGCAGCTATCATTGATAACTCTTCACCTTTTGGTTAGCTTTGCCGTTTTTGGTCAACTACCCCTAAGCACATCAACAGAGATCACATTGAAGGTGAGGGGATTTTTTTCTTTACTCATAACCTTTTTCTAACACGGAGAAACTTTTACATTTCCATATATTGCCATTAAAACTGTTGTATTTTATTGGGATTTAATGTGACAGACCTACCATAGTAAACTAGCCCCACCTGCCAGCAGCAAAAAATAATTTTTGACTGCAAGTGCAAGAACTGGCGGACCAATCACAATGCAGAGATGTGTTTTGAATTTTTGGATGCAAAGCGGACAGGGGATTTAGGGTGGGACGACAAAGCTGCGCAACGCTGGAGAAAGCAAAACAAGGAAGATGGCAACAACTATTGAACAGTTCTCGTTTGACTGAGCTCTGGAATCAGTTTTGGAAGAATTAGACTTGAGTTTTTTTGTTGAAATGTGAGCAGGAAGAGGCTCTACGCTCATTCATTTTAAAGGACGTATTCGCCGTTTTACCGACAGGCTGTTTGTTTACACTCCCCCCACCAGCTTTCTGACACGCTTACTACATCACAGTCAGTTGTGCTCATTGGTCAGAGTGTTGGCCAATAGGTACAGATAGGGTTTGAAAAACAACGGGTTGTTCTCATCAACAATCTTCCGATGTCTCATTCATCGGGGCTAGACTAAATTACACATTTAATCTCACATTTCGTCTGGTTTATCAGGCTATGACGGACCAACGCAAAGTAGTTCCTGATTGTTTAAGAAATAAAAATGCAGAGTTTTCAGAATTAGTTTTTGACTCAGAGCAGACAAACTCCCACTAAACTGAAAAGTTGGGTGAGGAAGACCTCAATCAGAGAAGCTGTAACAGGAGGAGCTACTAAAAAGCTGTTGTTCAGTCAAGACAGCAATAGAAGGGAGATGGAGAACCTCTAAATGTAGCGCGGTGGTCTGATGAGCACCACTATATGTTTTAGCATACTTGTAAAATGATGTGTTGTAGTGAGCTAACACAGCACATCGCCATGACCACACCAGCTACACCACGACCTGATGGGAGCTGAAAAAGAGCGAATCAGGAGGAAATGACCCTGAACGTAAACCAATGGCATGTTTTACAAATACATCAACCTTTGTAGTTTTGAAACTGCAAAATGGAAAGAAAAAAAATGTTTTATATATATATATTTCTGCAAAGCATTACATGTCTTTTCCATTCAATTATTCCCCACATTCCTTGATCATTCAGTGATGCTTTGCATGATGGACTCAGTGATTTTTCCAATCAAATGTGAACAAGTCCAACAGATGAGGCCAACTTTTCCTAGCCAAAAAAACTTAGAGCAATAAGAAACATAATTATAATGATCAAGCTTGGTGGAAGGGAACAAAATACATGACGCTTTGGATAAAAAATATGGCAGTTGAAAACATGATTTAAACTTTTTTTTTCTTGTTATATTTGATTGCTAACCTTTTATCTGGTACTTCTAAAACTTTGCCACATCCTCTTTTCTTTTTGTACCAAACTTAACAGCAGGTCGTCTTTATGTCGAATCTGGAAAATAGTCACATTCACTAGAAAATGACCAGAAACCTCTTTTGTGATTATTTTAATTTTTCACCTTTTCCTTCTTCCCGTTCCCCTTGGTCAGTTTAAACAAAAAAAAACATTCAGAATCAAAATGGCTTTATCTCCCTAAGCTTAGAAAAATAAATAATGTTTTGTCTGCAAGAAAAAAAAAAAACTACAAACTGAACACTGTAATAGAAAAAAAAAAAATATTTGGTTAAATATAACATTTGGTTTTTACAAGCAGAATAAAAGATAGCTTGATTAGAAATGATTATCTCAGAAGAAAGATAAATGTAGTTATTTTTTTTGTTCTTTAACTCAGTTTTCTAATATAAGAGCTGCTGTTTTTAATTTATTTCATCTTCTCATGTAATAATAGAAAGGAATGAATGATGATGATAAAACGTAGAAAGTACCACATGTCTCATTTGAACCAGAATCTGGTTTAGGGCTCAGTTCTTTGTCTGCTTAAGCAGTTAGACATGATGAAAGAAAAAGGAAACATCTGAGTTAAATATCCTCTTGGTTATTTAAAAGCTGCTCTAAACCCTAAATTTAGTTATTTTGTGCTTCCAAGGAGGCGGACAGTTTTACATCATCTGGTTTCTGAAAATATTTCCTCAGGCTTTTTTTAAATTCATTTTCCATCCAGTCCTCGTTTGTAACTAGCTGAAGATTTAGTTTTTATTAATTTTCAAACCACTTTAAAGTAAGCTATGAATCATTTAAGCATAAATACATGGAAGGAAGGAACTGGCAGAGGGAAAAGATGCTTTCTGAGGTCAATGTGGATTTGTGGAATTAATGGAATCAGCCTTCTGACAGTGGATATTTTATTTTTTCCCACCAGGTGTTGGATCAGTCTGGTCTGCGGGAAGAGGCGGCACATTTTCTCAGCTCGCTGCGTCTCCAGCTAAATGACCAAGGCTGCTCTGCAAATGACAGCGTTAGCCTCAGGGTCGAGGATCTTCACAGCAAAATAAAACAAATGTGAGCCACATGCAGTCTGAGTGACACAAAGCTAACGTGCTGTCATAGGATGGCGGGAGGCTGCTCAAGACAAAACAGCGAGGACAGATTACAGGACATGTGGAGGTTGTAAACACATCAGACAGCTACAGAGCCCAGAAGGACTGTAGAGCAATGATAAATCCCTGTTAGCAGCATCTGTGTGTATGTGTGAAGATTCCGCCCCCTCACTGGACTTATTCAGCAGAAATCCATCCTGCTTCAAAGGCCGACTGAAAGAAACGGGTCTGAAAGATGGAAAGTAATGGCTGCTATTTAGTTTTTTTGTTGCAGGGGGGAGAAAAAAAACTCACATTTATTAATAAATGCCTGTGTTGCTTATGGTACAATGCACTTGTGGCTAAAATTTCAGATTTTTGCATAAAAAACAAACAAAAGGAACTTTTGTTGAATTTTTTCTTTAATTAGAAAACTAAAAGGTAAAGGCAGAGTTCAAGGTTTGTGAAACATACCTTCCTTTTAGAGAATTTCTAGTCTAAACTCCAGAGAAGCAGGTCACCATTTTAGACTAAACAGATGTGAACTCATCCCTAAACACACTGACGGGATCAGCTCAGGCTCACACTGTTTAAAATGCTTCAGTCTTTATCTGTGCAATGCCCTATTTTTACCCCATTAACAGTAAATAAAAAAAGAGTTGATAGATTTTTGTTTTGCCCAACAAAAGCCAGCTATGAACAGCTTGTGGTGTCCTGTTGTAGTCCAAACGCTGCAGCTCTCCAGCTGGAAGTGGAGCACAGAGGCAGCCTTCTGGTGTTTCTGCAGAGTCCCAGAGGAAAGGTAGGGTAATATTCTCCAGGAAAAGCTCTCATCTCCGCTCACATTCTGCAACCAAAAAAAAAATAGAAAGGACACACATTGGTACATTCCATAAGATTTAGTCAAAGTTTAAAATTTTGAATCTGAAGTTAAGCAAATCGGTAAATAATTCATGAGAAACAATCGGGGGCTCAGTGCATCAAACTTGTTTAGTTGATAAGCCTTTATCTACCTGCTGTTATTGTTGCTAAAACATATTAACTTTTTGTGATCACTGATTAAGCTGATTAAGCTTGCGGTTCTTTTTAGTTTTAGTGTGCAATTTAATTCAGTTTTTTTCTATAGCGCCAATTCACAACACGTCATCTCAAGGCATAATTCAACCAGATCATACAATTAGATTGGTTCAAAGTTTTATATCTAAGGAAAACCAGTATTCAATCCTTGACTTAAAGGCAATCCCTCACACCAAGCATGCTTGTAGCGATAGTGGAGAGGAAAACTCCCTTTTAACAGGAAGAAACCTCCAGCAGAACCAGGCTCAGTGTTCCTTCATTGAACAGAGCTAATGTTTCCTCTAGCAATTTGTTCTTTGTTCTGGTCTGTGGAGAGTTCTACCTGACTTATGGTGTTGCATCTAAACGTTCCTGTTTTCTGTTTAAACCCAATGGAAAACCATTCCTGTCTTTACTGCTATACTTTTTCTTTGATATCTTTTTTTCTTTCTGTTGTAAATTAGCTTAGTACCTCCAAAATGAAGCCATTCACCAAGCTTTTATTGTTTACAATCTACTATCTATTTGTTTATAGAAGGTAACCCTGGCTCTGTGTTTCTGTTTTTCTTTTCTCTGTTCTCTTCCTGTGTGATATACAGTAGTAGCCATTCAAAATCTCCCTACTTTCATTGATGGGTCCTTGGCTGGTCCCGTACAATTCCTTTTTAAACATCAATCTTTGTACTAAAACATTATTTCTGTCATGATTTGTGGACATTAATATCTAAAGAGAAGCATCATCTCCTGCTCAGACCCTGTAATTTAGTGACAGGGTGGAGTCAGAGTAAAAAAATATATGCAAGAGGGGGTCACTCCAGTGGCTGGAAGTTGCAGCTGCCATTTGGCTGGCGTTTGACTAGGAGAGGCCATTTTGAATGGCTGCTACTGTAATGAATTCCCAACAAAATCCCAACATCACTCATTGCATAGAACTATTCTGAACACCCAGGTACAAAAGACTGTTGGAAAGACGTTTCGGATTATCAAAAATTTCTTGCAGAAAAGGCCAACGTGGAGGTCACTTTCATTTGGTCAAATCAGATCTATCTGGAATACAGAGCAAAATGCTCCGATCAACATTTGCTAAGCTGGCAGTGGTTAATGAATAATGTAAAGGTTATAGATCAGTGTGTTAATCTTATAAACCGATATTACTGTAAAAAAACAAAAAACAAAACTTAAGCTCAATACTTTCATATAAAAGCATAAATGGTTCAATTAAATAAAAATAGGAGCTGTTTGATTGAGATGTGGTTGTTGGGAGCGGTTTCAGGTTTGGTTGTCTGTGGACTGGACTCCTGTTCCTGCTGAACTGAGCCAGTGGTTCTATAGAACTGATTATCAGCTCAGTAGGCACAGGAATCCCAGCCCAAATGTCCTTTTTTCACCCAAAGCCCGCTGTGCACAGAATCACATGCACAGACTAATGCAATCCTACAGGAAACAACTGTGCATACAAGAAGCTCTGCTGAATGATCAGGTTGGTCCAAGATTACTGCTGCAAAGGTGACAAAATAGACTTCTTGACTCCATCCTTATGAAGTTATGAAAAATAATCATATTTTTGACGACAATAGAGGGGCGGTGAGAAATCTGATTTAATTAAAGAAGATTCCTAAACAGAGTTAATCCACCATTATTGCTTTGAAAGAGACGGCATGAACAGAGACCATGTGAGCTGCTAATGTTTTACAGCCACTCGACTCCAGCATTGCCGCACAATGTTTAAAAGCTTGCAGCTTCGTGGGATATCCCTATCTGCCTATAAGTTTTATAAATGGCCGAAACCAGTTTACAGCTCATCTTTCCGGATGTGTAACTCTGTTGCCTGACAGATTGTCCTCTAGGATTGTACTGTAGCCGTTGGTACAAAGAAACCTCTTGGCCTTTTTTTTTTTTTTGGTGCTGTTCTCCAACAAAACTTTAAGGCTTTACTATAACACCTGTTTTGTTAACTTTCACTAATATGGTGACTTCTAAGTTCAAGCGGTTTAATTCAGGGCTATCAGAATAAAGGGGGGGGACAAAATGCATATCTTATTTTTCGGCTACTTTCTGGCATCCATCTCATACAGCACCATAAAACAGGGTTGTGATTGTAATGTGACAAGATTTGAAACTACTAATGGGGGCATGAACAGTTGTGAAATCCAGAAGGTTTCACATCTCATCACCTCCTCTGATGCCCACATACCTCCTCAGTCCAGACTGCAGAATTTTCCAATGTGCTCTTTGAAATGCAATCCAATACATTTGGGCTTTTTGCAATCCACTCGACATAAAAGAGACAATCAGTTTAAACACACATGAGGAGAAGATGTGGGCTTTTTGTGGGGCAAATCAGTTTATTTTCGGAAGCTTTATGCAGCGTTGCTTGATCCTTTGATGTACAGAGAACCATTTCCCTTCCCATTAGAGAGTAATAAATCACCCTTTAGATACAGGCCCTGATGGCAATTCCTCTTTTTTTTTCCTCCTCCTTTTTACGGGCCTTTGATGGTCATTACTCTTTTAACAGGCCCTAAATATAGGTCTAAAAATGGCAAGCTCCACATGGCCCTCATTTCTAATTTACACATCTGTCCTCGTTTAGTCGTCATTTTGTCGCCGCAGATGTAGAGTGCTAGAATACCTCCTTGTTCCATATATATTCTAGCAGATGATGTAAAAGGAAGAAGAAAAAAAAAAAACAACCGCGATGAGTTTGATATTCATTTCACTCCATCTGTCACTGCTAAGTTCAAGGAGCAGAACTTATAGAACAGCAATTAGCCTGTTGAACACTGGACTGCACACTAGCTTTACAGCTAAAGCTTTTAGTTAGTGTTTTACGCTCTTTAGCCTCATCCCAGCTGCTGTATTGACAGCTTGGCTATTAAGCGCATTTACCTAAAGATGTATTTCTTTTTTTTTCTTTTTTTCTAAATTATTTAAAACATACTGTACAGCCTTTTTTATATCAATACAGAGGTGTTGATCAAGTTGTTTGCAGTAGGATCAAGTCATGCTCAGCACCCTCATGTTTTTTTTTTCTACTTTATCTTCTCTTGGCTAATTTAGGAGCCTTCTCTCAATATGATCCTCTGAACGAAGCGTGTGGCATGACCAAACTGAACATTTCTGTCCTGCCATCTGAGACTAAACAAAACACACTTCCGTAATGCAGTTTCAATCTACTGTATAAAAACACTTAATAGATCCAGTAAAGTTAGACTGACATCTAACCCACTGAATAACCTTTAAATTGTTATCGAAGGATCCACATTAGACGCCTTGGCCTTGTTTTCCCTTTCAGAGTGGAAATGTGTGAGAACGTGCTTTTCTCACTCTCTGTATCGTTGCTCCCTCAGGCTGAGATTAGATCTGAAATCAATACATATCAGCCGGCAATGCCTGGGCAGCACTTCTCACTACCAAAGTACTTTTAAGTCTACACACCTTCAGGTGCTTTAAGCATCAACACAATGATTATCTTTTTTAAGTGATTTTTATTTTATCTAAGTTCATCTTTTTTTAATGTTAACAGATCTGCTTCCAAGTTTGATTGCAAAGTCAGAGGAATGGTTCTTTTTGCTGAGGGGAGCACGATCAGGTTAAGGCTTAGATCATTTTGTGAAGAACCCGTGATGTCATTGTCATTAAAAAAATTTACTGCAACAAGCCAAGAAATGGTATTACAAAGATTTTCCCTCTGTAAAATAAGACGATTCTAGTTCAAGCCTTAAGTTTCTCAATAAAACTGAGTTAAGAGCTTCAGAGGTACTTAAAGGTACATTTTAAACTTTTATGCTCAGATTTAGTCTTTCCCCTGTTGGTACTTAAACCATTCATTATAACAGCTTGCCGAGAGTTTAAAGATTTGAATTTAGCTGAAAAAAGTTTTTCACATTATATTTTATAGTTCCCCAACATACAGCGTTCTGGTTCAGAAATATACACCGACATAAATGAATGTATTTTTAGGTGTGAAATAATTTCAATCAATAAGAGTGAAAGGATTATTTATTTAATTTTATTCAACACATACTGAAAATTGGCAGGGTGTACTACTTTAAAATTAACCTGAATTTATTTGAGAGAAAAAGGAAAAACATATTTTGAAAAATGTGAGCTATCAGAGAAACTGAATTAGTTGATTCAGGTGGGTGTCACCGCAATCAACTATAGTTCTAACCAGAACAGTGTATTAATAAAAACCTGCTGTAAGTAAGGCTGCGCCATATATTGCGAATATATCATCGTCATCATCATTGGTGCAATATCACAGAGGACGGTTTGAAATGCTGTAATTTATGGCTGATGTTAGTGTTA